TTTTTTTTACCAAACTTTTATCTCGTCAAAATCGTTCCGTTATATTATACTTCTGATCACAAATTTTGATTTCCTATTGAAATAATTTGTAAATCATTAAGTTTTATTTTTGGTATATATTTATTACATACATTACTAAATTTTAACCTGCCATGAAGATGGCTTATAATTTTTTAATTTGTTTTTATTTATATACTATTGATTAAACTTGAAATCTTACTATATTTGAGTTAATTAGATTAATGGACATAGTTATTTTTTATCAAAATTTTCATCTCCTCAAATTCATCCTATTCTGTTCTATTTCTAATTTCGAATTTTGATTTTTCATATAGAAATACATTTCTATGAGATTTACTATAATTTTTTTATAATGTACCCATATAATCCATAAATACAGCCACATTTAAGTTAATTAGGTTTATGAGTAAATTTATGTATTCTTTTAATCAAAATTTCATCTCGTCAGCTACATTCTATTATGATCCTCAATTTTGATTTGCAAAAAAAATACAATTTTGTATATGGTGTATTTGGTATAGATTTATTATATTTTTTATTTATAATATACAAACCATTAAATTTTACTTTTCGTATACATGTATCATATATTCTACTAAATTTTTAAATTATTCTTGCAAAAATAACTCAAAAGTTGATTTCAATTGCAAATCTAACCTCTAAAATTGGCCACTTCAAAATTTGCCACTTTCTCCCAAATAAATCTTTCATAGTTTTAGTTATTCACGAAATTGTCATTGTGTTTTAAATTAATTTTTTAATTTTCGAATATCCAAATGACCAACTAATCCGCATCTTCCTCACTTATTTACGAAAATACCATCATCATCAATTCACCCAACCACCATTTTCAACCAATTTTGAGCTTTAATGGCACCAAAAACCCATTTTGAGTTTGTTTAGCTCATTACCTTTCTCTTAAGCTTCTATTCTTCCATTTTCTCCCTATTTTCTTCCCAAAAACTCTAGAATTTGACTATTAGAAAGTTGAAGTTCATATATATTTCTATATTCCGGCGAGTAGGTTGTTTTTTGCGGTTGTGTTTCTTTCATGGTGGCTAGAATCAAAGATCTTGACCAGAAAAGAAGCTAAAGACGAGTGGTAAGTCAGATTTTCAGTCAATTTTAGCGTTTTTCAGTTATGGGCTTCGAAAGTAGACTTCTCTTGGTCCGAGTGAAGTCTACTAGTCAACGCCCAGGTTAGTTTTGCAATTGATCGCATGAAAAAAGTAGACTTCTTTTGGTCAGAATGAAGGCTACTCCATTTCCTTTGATAACAAAAAAAAAATAGAGTAGACTTCTCGAGTAGACTTCTTTAGAAGCAGGTCATTTTTGCAATTGACCAACCTTTGACTTTGTAGAGTAGACTTCTCCATGAAAAGTAGACTTCTTCGAGAAGTCTACTTTCGGAAGTAGACTTCTCGCAGGTCATTTTTGCAATTGAAAAATATTTGAGTTTTTGTCAATTGCAAAAATGACATGCGAGAAGTCTACTTTTCTCCGAGAAGTCTACTTTTCTTGTTTTTTTAAACAAATCATTTTTATACAATATATAACGAATTTTTAAGTTTTTCGTGATTCTAAGCTTCTTTTAGTAAGTGTTCTTGCTTATGCATAAGTTTTACATGTTTATATTTTATAGGTATAGTCAAATCAGTTTTTATGTTTTATATGATACTTAGCTTATTAAGAGTAGACTTCTCCAAGAAGTCTACTCGTGAAGTCTACTAAGTAGACTTCATCCGACTTTCAGAGAAGTCTACTTATTTAATTTTAATTTCTAATGTGGTTTGGATTTTGTTTTTTTTTTACATAGAATGGTTCACATACCCGCTGTTTATAGAGAATGGGTGAGGAGTGAATCAGTGTGGCAGTTCGAGGTGGATAATAGCAAAGGAGGGCGAATGTTGTTTTTAAGAGATTGTTGCACACATGGTGAGCATCTTGGTGAATGTTGGCAAAGGAGGGCGAATGCTGTCTCCTTTAAGTTATGTAAACTTAATGTATTTAAGAAGTCTACTCGAGACAGGAGAAGACTACTCGAGACAAGAGAAGTCTACTCGGTTGACAAGTTATGTGATATAAATGGGAGAAATGTCCCTCTAAATCACCTTTAAGTTATGTAAAATTAATGTCTTTAAGAAGTCTACTCGAGACAGGAGAAGTCTATTTTATAGAATACATAAACACACATAATTTAGGAATATGATACAAAACATTCAATGCAATTCAACATTACATAGAAAATAACCCTCTAAACAAACAAGCATTTAAGGATCACTGATTATAAATCTTAAAATTGGCATAAGAAATCACTACTAAACTAAAATCTCTGAAAATTATGTATGCAACTGAAGTCTGCTTGAGAAGTTTGCTCGAGAAGTCTACTTAAGAAGTCTGCTCGAGAAGTCTGCTCGAGAAGTTTACTCGAGAAGTCTTCTCGGGAAGTCTACTAGAGAATTCTAAACGTTTTGAACCTTCAAATCACTTAAATCCAGCGGAGACAAGCAAGAGCTTTGTTGAGATCTGTAGAACAAAATCATAAAAATAATAAATAAGGTCTGATCTGCAACAATAAGAAAAGAGAAATGTTAAAATTTAGATTTGCAACATAATCTACTATATTTATAACATTCAGATCAGCAAAAAAATCAAAAAAATTCAGCTCTGAAACAATAACAAAAAAATTTAGATCTGCAACAAAATTCAGATCTACAACAAAATCTACAAAAATTATACAACAATCAACTCAGATCTACAAAAATAAACTTAAATCTACAATAATAAGCTCAAATCTATAATAATAAGCTCGGATCTATAATAATAATCTACTATATTTATAACATTCAGATCTGCAAAAAAATCAACAAAATTCAGCTCTGCAACAATAACAAAAAATTTAGATCTGCAACAAAATTCAGATCTACAACAAAATCTACAATATTTATACAACAATAAACTCAGATCTACAAAAATAAACTTAGATCTACAACAATAAGCTCAAATCTATAATAATAAGCTCAGATTTGCAATATGAACACAAAGCAAACAAAAGGAGAAACACAGAAGCTCAGATTTGCTTACCACTACCATAACCTGCAAGTGAGAGGAGGTTGAATGCAAGATAGAGAAGATGGAGAGGATATTGATAGCAAGAGAGGAAGGAGAAGAAATTCATAGCCAGAGAGAAGGAAGTAGAGAGAGAGGCGTTTTTTAGATAGAAAGAGACTTTATTGTTAATATAATTAGGTTAAACTCTCCTTATATATGTAGAAAAAAATTCTTTTAAGTAGACTTCTCTAAGAAGTCTACTCGAAAAGTCTGCTTAGTATTGATTTCTAACCTAATTTATCTATGATGATTTAAATTGATTATTTTTTTATAAAATTTATTTTTAAAAGGTGTAAAAATATATGTTTTTGTTATGTATATAATTGTTTTACCAAATTTTTTTTTTAATGGTAAATAAATTATTAGAGAGTAGACTTCTCCAAGAAGTCTACTCGAGAAACCGAGAAGTCTCTTAGTATTGATTTTTATCCTAATCTATGATGATTTAAATTGATTATTTTGTGTCAAAATTTATTTTTAATAGGTGTAAAAGTATATATTTGTGTTATGTATCTAATTTTTTTTATCAAATTATTTTTTATGATTTTTAAAATTAATTGTAAACATAATATTATAGAGTAAACTTCTCCAAGAAGTCTACTCGAGAAGTCTACTTAACTTCTCGAGTAGACTTTTCTAGGATAAAATGTAATTGAGGCTGACATTTTTTTGTTTGGTCATAAAGGTTAAGGTTGTAATTTCACTAACCCTGTGAGTTATTTTTGTCAAACATGCAATTAAGGGTCTAGTTTTGCATTTCAACTCAAGTTTTGAGTCATATTCAGTAATTCTCCCATTTGTTTTTCATTTCTATATTTTAAACCCATTAAGTATAACTTATTTTAATTTATCCCATATCGTTCCTAAATTTTAAGAAATTTAAAAGCATATTATAAATATAAAAGACTTATGTAAATAGTTTATATAATATATCTATACAACCCGGAAAAATGCAGAGGAGTGTGGATTTCATGTTTCATCTAAAGTAGATTTTCAGAAGTTTTATAATTTTTATGTATTGTGGGTTATCTTTAATTTAAGATGGTATTATCTTAGATTTAGCCAGTAATTTTAAAAAACAATTATTAAATTTAAGTTTTATTTAAAAAGTTTACTTTTTCAAATATATCTTTTAATTTTTCTTATCTATATTATTAATATATTAATTAAGCATGTTTGTTGGAATGTAAATGTTTTATTATTTGTGAATGTATTTTGGTTTTGTTTATGTGTGATATTTATTTTAAGTTAGTAGTTTTGTATTTATAATTATTGTATCATTTGTCATTTATATTTTGTTATAATTGAAATTTTGATTTAAATCAGATAGATTTATAAAATATAAGAATAACAAATATTGATAGTTTGATTATATAAACAAAATATAAAATTCAAATTGTTGCTAGTTATTGTTAGAAAAAAAGAACTTATGTAAAAAAATTTAAGTTTGTAACAAATATAGTTGATAGATGTAAATAATTTGTATAATATATTTATATAACCCGAAAAAATGCAGCTATATTTGAGTAAGTTAGGTTTACGAATAAAATTACATATTTTTTTACCAAAATTTATCTAGTCAAAACTGTCATATTAAGTTCGATTTCTAATCTAAAATTTTGATTTTCTATAGATTAGGATTTTTGTCTTTTTTATTAACAGGATTTTTCCTTGTACATTATATTTTTTTTTTCAAAAAAATATTGTAAAACAAATTCCACCAATAAAAGTTCGTTAAAATAATATCTAGATAAACCATAAATTAAAAAATTAATATTATTCTAAATATAATTTGATCGTGGGTCTAAACCCGTTATTGACCCAATAAGTTGAAATTTATGTGTCGGCTTCTTCTCTTTCTCTTGGAGCTCTCCGCCATCCTCAGTTGCGGTGAAACGCCACTCCGATCCCTCTTCCTCAAAGCTTCTTTTCTCCTCATTCTTCAATTCGCAAATCTCCAAGTCAGATAATCTTTTGATTGATGAATTGAATTTTTCAGAGCTTCCTTTTTTCATTCTTCAATTTGAACGCATGTAAATTATTTTAACCCTAATCATCTTCCTCAAGTTTGATCTACAATATCCGGAAACGAATTGAACACAGAAGCAGAAAAAAACAATTCCCGACGAAGCTCCCAAATTAGCAGCTTCAACTCACTCTCAAATCGGAGCCACCATGGCCACAATTTCGATCCAAAACGACTCGACTCACCAAGCTCAGAAACCCGTGCAGGTGAATATATTTCTCTTAATTTATCCATTCCATGGGGTCTGTGTCTTTAGTGATCTCTTCTTATTTCATACATTATCGATTTAGTATGATTTCCTTTTCTTTTCCAAGTTGATTTGTTCTTGCAAAATAAAGCCTTTTACTAATTTTCTTTTCTTTTTGCAGGAAAATGTAATGTCAAAGCTGACTTTGTAGTCAAAGCAAGGTGGCTTATGAAGTCAATGATGTCCCAATCCGTTAAGCTTGAGTAAGCCGCTCTTTCCCTAAAAAGAACTTTAGAATTCGTAAAGTGAATTATTACTTCCAGAAACATGTCAGTTTATTATCTCTTCAAATAGTATCATAAGTTCGTAAAATTTGAACCTGTAATTATAAATACAAAGAAGTGCTAGAGATTTCTTTAATACATTATGCTAAAGAAACAAAAAAATATTACTTGAAGAGACAACATTGGACTATTGCCAAAATTTAGAATATATATTTATGAGTGAAATATTTTACTTAGAAGCTTCCAAGAGGAAGCTATTTTCAAAGAGAAAAAACATCTCTGGAACCTTGTATAACAATTAAGTCGGATCTAATAATCCAATTCCACTTTAAGTAGGGGTTATTGGTTCTTGTATTTTGGTGGATTTAGAAATCTTCTTTGGATTTGATAAATTTATTGATTTCAAAATCAGCAAAATAAAAAAAATCAAATCCATTCAAATACCAAGGTTAGACTTTGTATTTGAGTCTTTGTATTTTAGTCATGAAAATCTTTCTAAATCCATTCAAATTCAATTAAAACTCAAATCTTTATAATATTTAGATTTTAAAATGATAGAACCAATAACACTGTATTTCATTATAGATTTTAAAATCATAGAACCACTAACACTGTATTTTAATATAGATTTTAAAATACAAGAACCAATAACACTGAATTTGGTTTGGATTTTCAAATCCATTAAAATACAAGAACCAATAACATCTTTTAAGTATTTCTTCATGATTCCCCGCCAACTGCCCTTACTTATGAAAAAGATAAGTAGCTTTTCTTTGCCATATCTTTGCTTTGCCCTTTTTACATGAGCATGTATCATGTATCATGACACCCTGCAATTTTAAAATAGTTTAGTTAGTCTGTAAGGACAATGAACATGTAAACTGGTATGTCTTAACATCGTGATAAATTTCCCTTACAGTTTAATGAGCAAGAATCAGCGCTTGCTATTCAAGAGACTGCCTTCTATTTCTTGCATGAATGAAGGCCTTAAAAAGGCTTGGCATCGGAAAGGTAAAAAAAAGCAATGAGAGAACTCATTCTCTTTGCTATGATGTTAATACTCTGTTCCAATTCCGTTAAGCTTAGAATAAGCTGCTCTTTTCATTAAAAGAAAAATAATATCTAAGATTCATGATAAAAGAGAGTTATGAGACTTACTTGCCTGTTTTTTCATTCCTTTCTCAATATCAACTGTGACAAAGTATTGCTAGATTCAGGGTTGTCAATCTATGTAAACATTGTAAACTATAATACGACAGATCGGTAGACAATAGAGAATACTATATAAGCAGTGGTGGCGTTTGATTAGAATAGACTCTTACCTTTCCTCTTCTATGTTTGAAGGACATGAGCTAGAATGCTCCAAGCCATTTTGAAAGGCTTCAAGTCTCTTAGATAGAGAGAATGGGAAGAATTAGGATTTGACAAAGCTCTAGGATGCTCTAAGATAAATTGCTTTGAGGTATGTTATTATGCTAATGGTTTTTATAATGTTCCAAAAAGATTACAGTAGGTTTAAAAAGATTGACGGTGAAAGATTTTATTTAAAGATCTTGAACTATTTGTAACTGCTGAAGATTTTTAATGGTAATTCATAATTGTATTAGGCAAGATTCTTGATTAGCCCGTTAAATATTGATATTTTCTTATGCATAGGCAATTAGTCTGAGTTTTCCGTCGAAGATTTCTGAATTGTGAAGATGAATAATATATTTTCATATTCTTCTACTTATGATATTTTCCGCGATATCCGTTCCAATATTGGGTTAGTAGGATTTGATCCGTCCGAGGCGAATCAAATTATTGGTTTGATTTATGGGACTTAGTAGATCTGCATCTTTTGAAATGAAATTCGGGTCTAGTTGAGCTACTGAGTTGACTCAGTATCTTAGGTCAGTTTTAACCCCTATTACACTTTTTTTTTTATTTCTCTTTCATTAAGAATAACAATAACGAAGGGGTTGCAAAGATGTCACCGAACCACAAACTGCAGGAAACTCGGATCAGAACCTATAGAGCCACAAAAAATGAACCGAAAGGCTACACATAGAGGCCCCAGCGATCAGAAACCAGAAGAGGGCAAAAATTTCTCACTACTAAAGAGCTGTGTAAGCCAATTGGGATGCCCAACAGCAACATACGATTGGTAAAATCCATACTTAACAACACTTTCTGCAATGAGAAAAGCTCCTCTATTGGCTGATCTAACCGCCACTTCAACATCCCAATACTTCAACTTTGATAAAACACGAAACAGAGGAAAAGTAATACTTGTGAAGGAAGGCCAAGCCTTTGGTCGCATCAGAGCCTTGACCAAATCAGAATCTTCCACCGCAAACACCACCCGCTCAACTTTATGATGGATCATACTCACGATTGCCCATTCGACACAGGTTTTGACTGCATCCTCTTTGCAAGCAATATTTCCGAACTCACGACGGCTGTGGAGGATGACTGTCCCAGCGTGGTCTCTGAGAACCCAAGCACCACCAACACACATTCTATGCTTTGACCAAAGCGCCCCAATATTACACTTCAGAACAGATGCCTGAGGTGGTCTCCAAACCTGCAAGGAGGTGTCCCCTGGTTCCTCAAACAGCTTTCCTCTATTTCTTGAGCAGCGAACCACAAATTTGACTCACCCATAATCTTCTTAATTGTTTCTTCTGGTGAAAATCTGGCCTCGTCAAAGAGAAGCTTATTCCTGTTTTTCCAGAGATACCACAACACCCAGGGAACACAACACCTAATCTCTAAGGAGACCAAAGTGTTTTTTCCCATATTGAACACATAATGAATATTTATATAAACAGAGCTCTCGTGGTGACCACCCTGGGGAGTGGGAAAGTTTGAGAGAGCCCAAACCTGACGTGCCAAAGGGCAAGTGAAGAGGACATGATTGGTGGATTCGCCTTCCTCACCACAAGCTTGGCAGCGTAGATCAAATTTCATTCCTCTGCTCGCAATGGTTGTTGCAACCGGGGTTGCATCACTCAACACCCTCCATATAAAGGTCTTGATCTTGGGCGCTGTCTGAAGAGACCACACTTTCTCTTTGATGCCATTTAAGGAAGGTTGTTCCTCTGCTTTTCTGGCTACATCCGAGATTGAGAGCGTAGAAGCCAGCCAATAAGCCAACCTTACTGAAAACATACCACCCTTGTTGTGGTTCCAAATCCAGAATTCAGGTATCTCTGGAATTGGCTTGATTGCTCTTATTAGCCGGATATCAGACGGGAAAAACAAGGCAGTGAGCTTATCAGGCCTCCAATCTCTTGTTGTCGGATCGATGATATCAGAAACTGTTAAAGACAGATCAATAAGCGGATTTTTGAACCAGGGAACACGGCTTCCATTGTTTTCCAGCCACGGTTCGACCCAAACCCGAATCAACTTCCCATCACCAACCTTCTTACTGATACCCTTCACCAGCAGTTCACGTCCGAACAGGATACTTCGCCCCGCATAAGAAGGCCTATTCCCAAGCGAGGAGTCAAGAAACCCTTTATGACTGAAATATCTGCTTTTGAATAGGCGAGAGAGAAGAGAGCCCGGCTCGTGTAGTAATCTCCAGGCTTGCTTAGCCAGTAAAGCTTGATTAAAACGAGTTATATCCTTGAAACCCAGGCCTCCGAGATTCTTTGGAAGGCAAAGTTTTTCCCAACTCAGCCAGTGGGTCTTCCTTCTATGGTCAAGGGAGTTCCACCAAAAGGCAGCTATAACACTCGAGAGGTTAGTTAAAGTGGCTTTTGGAAGTTTAAAACATGACATGGCATTTACCGGGAGTGCCATCGCAACGGCTTTAAGTAAAACTTCTTTTCCCCCTTGGCAAAGGCTTCGAGCAAACCAACTTGAAACTCTTGATTTTAAACGCTCTTGGATGAAACTGAGGAGGTGCACTTTAGATCCACTGAAGCATTCAGGTAATCCAAGGTAGGACCCCGCTCCTCCTTTGTTGTAAATCCCAAAGGTGGCTTGGATAACCTTTTTTACTTCATCATTCACTTTCGAGCCGAAAGTAAGAGAAGATTTATTTAGATTAACAACTTGGCCCGTTGCTTTTCCATACTCATTAAGGATATCTTTTAACTCTTTGCTCTGAGAAGCGGAAGCTTTACATAAAAATAGGCTATCGTCGACAAAGAAAAGGTGGTTAATAGCTGGTCCTTCCTCTAAAAACCTGATACCATCAATTTTTCCATTAAACACAGCCTTTTTCAGAAGATGAGAGAGACCCTCAGTACAAAGGACAAAGAGGGCTGGTGACATCAGATCGCCTTGGCGCAAACCACGCTCGGGAGTGATCATGCCGAAAGGTTGATCGTTGATCAAGGCCGAATAAGTCACTGTGGAGATGCAAAACATAACCCATTGTATCCACTTTTAGGCAAATCCTAAGGCTTTCAATAAGCTTTCCACATAAGCCCACTCGACTCTGTCATACGCCTTAGACATATCCGACTTTAGAACATAAACTCTGAAGAAATTACGGGATGTGTTTCAACCCGTGGACTAATTCATGGGCAATTAGAATGTTGTCTGTTATCAGCCTTTCCGGAACAAACGCCGATTGCGAGGGAGAGACTAATTCTGCAAGGAAAGGTTTGAGTCTCTTAACGAGGATATTAGAGATGACCTTGTAGAAGACCGAACAGAGGCTAATCGGTCTAAGGTCGCTCATCTTCTCTGCCTTTTGAACCTTTGGAAAAAGGCACAATAAGGTGTAATTTCATTCAACAGGAAAGATGCCGGAGTGAAAGAAGAGTTTGACCTCCTTCGTCACTTGCTCCCCGACAATATCCCAGTACTTCTAGAAGAAAAAGCCTGTCATCCCATCGGCACCGGGGTACTGGAAGCTTTTATTGCAAAGACCGCCTGAAATATTTCCTCATCGGATACTTGTTGAGTGAGGCTATCATTCATAGACTCAGAAACACGGGATTCAAAATCCTCAAAGAACCCTTCAAAGCTCCCTGGATTAGACGATGTGAAGAGAGAGTTGAAATAGGCTGTGGTTATCTCTCCCTTCGAAGCTTCAGCTCTATATGGGTTCCCGTTAACATCCAGAAGCAATTCTAGCCCTTTCCTTCCCCTATTTAGATTCACCGCTGCATGGTAGGACTTTGTATTCTGGTCCCCTTTTTTTAACCATTTTTCGCGACTTTTCTGACTTCAAAAGGATTCCTCCTCTCGATATGCTTCCACCAAGTTTCTCTTTAGCAGCCAAACCTTCTGTATAACCGGGAAAGGAGAAGATTGCTCCAACTCAAGAGCTGCTTGAATCTGGATTTTCTTGTCTCTTGAGTTCAAGTTGTTCTCTCTTTTCCACTTACTGAGTTCTTTTCGACAATTGCGAATACGGCCAGCAACAGACAACAGGCCCCCACGGAAGGGAGCATTCCACGCCCTTAACACAGCCTCACGAACCCTCGGTTTGTTAAAAAGCCGCTTGTCAAATTTGAAGTTGCCTCTGTACACCTCTTTCGCTGCTATCAATTTAACTAATACCGGTCTATGATCCGACCCTCTTTTGTCGAGAAAAGCTTGATTTGCTGCAGGAAAGACGGAGAACCAAGCATTGTTACCAAAACACCTGTCCAATTTACATTGAATCCACAAATCACAACGATATCCGCCCATGTGAAAGGATTTCTAGAGCTAGGGAGCTCGTTTATGTTGCAGCAGTTTAACATATCTGTAAAGTCTTTGAAAGAGTTAGCACTGCGTCTCGGTCCTCCAAGTTTTTCTCCATTATGACAAAGGTCGTTGAAATCCCCTAGTAAACACCAGCATTCACTTCTGTTCAGCCCAAGTCGAGTTACACGTTCCCAAACATTTTTCTTTGATTTTCTAGAAGGGTCGCCATATATACATGAGACAAAACAATTGCCTTTTCCGAGCTGTACATAAAGATCTATAATATTCTTACTAGAGAAAAGGATTTCTACATTAACGGTCTTCTTCCAAAAAACTGCAAGACCGCCACTTTTACCCAACGGCTCCACCGTATGTACACGTTCATACCCCAACCATTCCTGAATATCCACCAAAATGTTTCTTCCTTGCATTGTCTCCATCAGAAACAAGACATCAGGGAAATATTCTTTACGCATCTCCATGAGTCTGGGAATCGTCAAGCCTTGAGACCGTCCCAAACCTTGACAATTCCAGCTGAGAATGCTCATTGGGGATTGGACGGTCCCTCATTTGGGACCATCAATGGTTTGATACGTCTGGTATCAGCAGTTCCGACATTGTCATCCTCTATTACTTTTCGTTTTTGTTTCTTCGCAGGCGCATCTTCCGTCATTGACTCGGCCTGTTTGAGCAAAAGCATTTCTACTTTCTTTCTCCTGCTTCTAAAAGGTCTTTTGCGGGGCTTCCCCGATTTCAGTACAGCCCCAGATAGGCCCGTCTCAGAAAGACAGACTCTAGTGACCGTAGAGCTGAAATGAAATGGGTCGAGGAAGTTGGTTGCCGATCCTTCTGATTGAGTTGCATCTGAGTAAGAAAGTATTGTTAGCGCACTCCCTGCGTTGATCGCAGCAGACATGAGCTTGTCGCCTGATCGCTGAGATTTCCTTGTGCTGATCTTAGGAGAATCCTCGGAATAATCGAAGACCAATGCTTTTCCTTTGTCGCGAGCAGTGGAAACAATTGGCGGGGCTTCGAGACAGAGAAGGGTCTGGCAAGCCAGG